AATCTTGATTTTCTGTTATTAATCTGATAAAAAATGAAAAATCCAGATAAAATTGTTATGCCTGGGAAAATAGGGCTGACGTGGCGCCCAGTTAAGTGCGAAAGGTCAGACCTCAAGAAGAGTCCGCTGATATTCTGGAGCAGCCGCGTCGCGTGATGATGCAAGCAGCACACTCCTGTCAGTACAGTGGGTGTGCACCAGACTGAAGAAAATGCTAGAGGATGTACACGTGTCTGATCCCTACAGCAAATCACGTGAATTACTCTAGAAAGTGGGTAATGTGACATAAAGAAGGATTTGTACAGATAGTCTCACCAACTCACAGATTCAGTGATGATTGTCTTAATCCATCCCACTATAAATTGAGAGTTTCTCTCTCATTTAAGGGATTCGCACATTTTACTCTTAATGAGCTATCCTCTCCTTAGAATAGACAGCATTTGATACCTTGTATTATCATTGTAAAGTCAGTCGTCTAAAACAACCTAACCCTTATCATTAATACAAGTATCAGTAGACGTAGGACTTGCTTCCTTAGCATCCGAACCACTTTAAAACTCCTTTCTCACTGCATTTGCTCTCAATTCTTTTCCTTTCACGTGTGTCTTCTGAGTCAGTTCAGCATCTCACATGTGCGTTTCGTTGGTATTAAAATCACGCATCAACAAAAATTTAGTTAGAATCAGAAACTGGGATTGAGCAAACATACCCATATATCAAAGGTTTGGAAAGACTTAATTTGCAATGCAAAACAACTTGAATTTCTTAGTTCTTTCATGTAGTGGTTCCTCTTCATCACTGGTAGCAAGGCTTCGCTTAGCTGTTACCACATGCATAGTTGGATTAAACTCTTTCAGATCTTGCTCGTATATTGTAAATTTTAAAAATGAAACTGTTTAATGTTATTTAAACTTAGCAGATTGGGTTTGATTGTGTTCTGTAAAGCTTTGATATGATGATCAACCAACATCTAAACGACAACAGACATTTAAAGCATAAAGTAAAGCACACCAAATTTTTTTACATGTTTTGGCTAAAGTCCATTTTAGCTTACATTCACGAGACCAAGTCCAGCTTAATCAAATCCATTATAGCAACAAGCCAAATGTCAATATAAAAACCGAAATTAAATACATCAAGGTAAACACTTCCTGTCTACAAGATTTAACTCCACACTCTTGATTGCACAAATGCCCAGCTACGATCTGATTGAATCCAAGCAACCACTCAGATAGCTCAAGCAACTCTTGAACTTGGACTGCCGAGAACTCCTTTAAGCTCTAAAGCTTGAACTCCCTTCAAGCTTCAACAAGGAACCACGTTCCACGATTCTCAATAACAAGAAATTTGATCATCAAGGAAACCATCGTAAAAAGAACCTGAAAATTGCATATCTTTTGAGCCCCGGGTATTGCACTCTACCATTTTTGGGAAAATTTTAAATTCTCCTTGTACCTACTTCCCCTTTTTGTTCATAAAGTTTGAGGTAAACCTCAATGACGGCTGGATCTTCGAGAGAAAATTTTGCTCTCGTAGCTGTCCACTTGAATTTTCTGCCAGATGATGCAGAGGTCTGGATGAGAGGAGAAACAGAGGATTGTTGAGGAGTAGTGTCAGGCACTAGAACTTGAGTAGGTTTAATTGGATTTGATTTAGGAGGGATTGGAGAGACTGCAACTGGATGAGCTTCAGTTGGATCTTTTTCATGAGAGACTGGAGAAGAATGATAATCAACCTTCGTCTTTGTCAACATTTTTAAAAGATTATCCATTCTTGAATGCAATAGGTTCATGTGAGATGCTAAACTGACTGCAATTCACCCATTTGCTTGATCATCTCTTGATGCATGTCACCAACTGAGTATCCATTCTTGGTTTGGTATTATAGTTTTTGGAAGTATTTTTTTGGAGTTCTTGATTTGGTGTTATAATCTTGTAAGTATTTTTCTAGAGATTCAATTGTGAAACTAAAGTTAGTAGAGTAGTTGAAGTGTGAACTGAAGTTAGTAGAAGATTCAACTAAGCTTTGAAGAATTTGTGAACTTGAAGCTGTAGAATTCAAGTGATGTCGGCAAGGGACGCCCGTTTATGAAGGAAAGTCACTATTCCAAATCCAAAGCAAGTCATTCTCATGTAGAACGAGATCGTTCTTAAGGTCGTTCCTTATACTGTCCAGTTTGGAATTTAAGTGAAGTCAGCAAGGAATGCCCATTCTTATTTCCTCAAGCCGTTCCGAAGGAGATGACTCTGTTCCTATGCCCAATCTATTTTTTGGAAAATCAGTGCACATTTTGGTGACCACAAGAACGCCCGTTCCTAAGAAAAGGGCGTTGTTCCCTATGCTACAATGTCAACAAGCTGCAGCTGTAGGACAACCTAGCTTGAGGGCTATCAAAATATAAGCTTAGGAGCAGTATGGGTTAAAATGCAATATTGGAAAGTAGTTAGACTAAATAAATTCTCTGGGTTAAAAGTGTTGGGATCGAATTTTGCAAAAAACACAACGTTTTGTATCAACGTCTTTATCAAAGAGCACACATGTTCTTCCAGTTAGTTAATGAAAATCCCAGTTTTCTCTTCACTTCAATTTCGTTCTTGTTTTCTGCTTTTCTTCTAATTGATTCTAGAAATTTTTTTTAACATTTGATCTTACATAAACCCTAACCCTAAATTTTTATAATCATTGAAACCTTTTGTTTTATTTAAATGTTTGTTTGTTTGATGAAAATGTAATACTAAAGTTATGGAAAACCTAACGGGATGAATTTGAATGAAAGAAAATAAGTTGGAATTAAGAAATTGGAGGAAAAAAATGTGCAATGAAAAAACCTAATTGGATTGATTTGGAAAAAAAAAAAAAAGTGTACAACAAAAAACCTAATTAAGTTTGAAATACAGAAAAATAAATCTAATTAAGCTTAAAAGGTTATTTTCGGTATTAAATCGGGTTTAAAGATTTTTTTTTTTTTTTTTATATATTATAGAAGAAGTGTACTTAGCCATGAAGGGTGAAGATCGGTTAGATGGGGCCTAAAATTCACTTGCCATTGAAGATATCTTTAAAATACTTAAAATTATTTTCCTTACACTTCATTCCTAAATTTAGTTCAGACTGAGTATTTGGTTATTTAGAATAGCATTCTATGCTATTTAGCATTTTTGGAAAATAAAATAAGATTCTTAAAAGTTTTTTTGTACATTTATAAATAACATTTTTTGAAAATATTAGATTTTTTTTAACCTTGTAAGTTTATTAATTTAATTAAACACCCCCAAAAATAAAAATTTATAAATTGACAAAAACACTCCCATCCACTCACCCACGTATTATCGATAGTCAGTCACCATCACTGAAAGGTGGCTAGAATTTGTCGAAAGGATACATGACCAACTAGATTTGGTAAGTTATATGCCGATCTAGCATTTTCTAGTCATATCTACCGTAGATCTAGTCGGAAAAAACTAGATCTACGGCCATAGATCTAACCATCGTTGACATATTCTAATGGGTTTTAATTTTATTTTTTATTCTAATTTATCAAAACTTTTTTTAGGGTTTGATTTGTTTTAGATATAATTATTATTAATGGACATATTGTCTTTGAAATTATTAATAAAACAAAGATTTGAGAGGAATTAAAAGTTTTCAATGAACTTGTAAAATTATAGTTTATAGAAGAGACAGAGATTTAGGACAGAAATATAAAAATATAAAATAAGGATATACTTAATATCAATCTAACTCTTTATAACAAAACAAAGGGCGATAGCTAAATAGCACTCCCGTACAATGAATCTGAGGCCCATGATTTGACATTCGAGTGAAATTGCCTTAAAGGACCAGGGGGACCTGCATGTTAAAAAGAGAAACAGGGTGCTTTCTTGTGTCATTTGGGCAATCGTGCTATAAATTTGTGGTCAAAAAGTTACTCGGCCAGTTTTCTTTCTTGTTAGGTGGGCGGTGGTGGGCCTGATAAATTAAGAAGGAAGAGTAGTTAAAAAAATTAAAAAATGGAATGCTTCCAAATTCTAATGGTATATTACTGTTCACATTTTAAGTGTACGGAAGAGTAGTTGAGGACAATTAAATTGATGTTAACTCAAGACAGCCATGTTTAATATATTGTATTGAACTGATTAATTTTTTGGTTTAATATGATTTATATTCAAGAATAATTTGAAACTTCACCAATAAATTAATTGGGTTGAATACAATTAAAAGTTAAAATTAAATACTTATCTATATTATAATAAATATTAATAAAGCATATTACTTTCAATTTTAATTAGAATTAAATTGTTAGAACATAGAATTATTATAAATAATTTTATCTAATTAATTAAATATTAATAACAACATAAGAGGGTTATAATAATCTAAATAATAATCAATATTAAAAAAATAATATAATAATAATAATATTTAATTAGAAAACAATTCAGTAATTTAAATAACATACTCAACAATTTATTCCTTCCAACCAAACATATTAATATAACATACCCATCAATTAACCAAACACAATTTTCTAAAGATTCTTAATAATCTTTAAGGTAGTCTAACTTTCTAATAATCTAATATTCTCAGTAATCCAACATTCTCTGAACCAAACGCTTCTTAAAACTATATCATTAGCTACCCAATCCATGATTAATTTATTACAATTTGATTTATAAAAGTGGATAACATATATTAATTTATTATTAGCCACCGAATGACCACTATGTTAAAATCGTAATATTTTAAAACAATAAGTTGAGGATAAACATGAATACATGAAACGTCCAAGAATAAAATATTAATAACAACATAAAAGGATTGTACAAGCTTGACTGGCGGCTAAGCATTGAATTATTATGAAGTTTCTCTGAGCTCACTAATTTGTAGATCAACGGTTCCGATTTCCAAATTAATGAGAACGAATTTTCCTGGAAATGGGTTCCCACAGAAAGTAAGTAATACAAAAATAAAATGAGAGGAATTAACTGTTACAAGTCAACGAATCATATACACCACTTATTTTAAGATTGAGGACAAACAATAATTTACCCATTTGCTTTATTCTTTGTAGAGTTTAGGAGTTTATGGCTGCTGCTTCTTCTTCTACTGCCACTCCTCCCGTGGAGAAGTATGATGTTTTTCTGAGTTTTAGAGGCGAGGACACCCGCAATAACTTTACAAGCCATCTTCACGCGGCTTTGTGTCGTAAAAAGATCGAAACTTTCATTGATAACCGGCTAGTAAGAGGAGATGAAATTTCTTCATCTCTTTTGAATACAATTAAAATATCAAAGATTTCGATTATCGTTTTCTCAAAAAATTATGCTTCTTCCAAATGGTGTCTTCGAGAACTTGAACAAATCCTTGAATGCAAGAATACAAGTTATCATATTGTAATACCGGTTTTCTACCATGTTGATCCTTCACATGTAAGGAATCAAACTGAAACTTTTGGGGATGCATTTGCTGAGCTTGAAGAACGATCTAAAGAGGAGTTAGAGATGCTACAAAGATGGAGAACTGCTTTGAAGGAAGCTGCTAGTCTATCTGGTTGGCCTATAAATGACGAAATGTATGTATCAATTCTCGCATAATATATTAATATTCTTGTCTTCATATTATTATTACTTTTTTAACTGAAATTGTTTCTAAATATCAAATGAAATAAAAGTAACATTAATTTTGCACAAAGATAAATTACGAAAACTTATATTTTCAACTGCAAGTTTTTTTTATTTCTTTTAATCTTTACTCGTCTCTAAAATTTTTTCTTTTAAATTTTTAATGGACAAAAAATAATAATCTCACAAAATCTTTTGATCAATCTTCTCTTTGATTCTAGGAGATCTAATTGTAATTTCAGCAATATTAATGTTCACCAAATTAAAGATTCCCTTGAAAAGAGATTTTGTTAACTTTAGAAAAAATAATTATATATGGACAAACCTCTAATACAAACTTATACAATCTGATGCGTTTTAATATGATTGGATGATTTTAAATTGCAAATAATTTAAACAAACTTGATTAGATAATATGTTAAACATGCAAAGTTGTTATATCAATTTATAGGGAATAATTTGTAAAGGTAACATTAATCTTTTAGAAATTTCACATGCTTAAGAATGGAGGAAAAATAGCCTATTTCCATCTGGTTTATATCGATCAGTTGTCGGAATCAAAATAATATTGTCTTTGGTATCTTTTAGATTTTTATTTATGCTAACTATTTTTATTTTTATACTTGCTAGCCCTGAATCTGTGCTTATAGAGGAAATTGTTGAGGATATTCTAGAGAGGTTAAATAAATTTTCTCCAACTGGTAATTATAAAGACCTTGTTGGAGTAGAATTCGCCATCGAAAAGATTGAATCTTTATTGTGCATTGGAGCAAATGGTGTCAAAATTGTAGGAATTTGGGGAATTGGAGGTATAGGCAAAACAACTATTGGTCGTGCTTTATTCGACAAGAATGCTAGTAAATTTGAAGGTTCTTACTTCTTTGAAAATGTTAGGGAAGAATCTGAAAACAACAGATTGACTCACTTGAGAAATGAATTTCTTTCCACAGTATTAGATGATAAACATACTAATAGAGGAGTCGCCTTCACAATAGAAAGGTTGAGACGTATAAAGGCTTTTATTGTTTTTGATGATGTAACATGTTTGGATCATATACAAAAACTAATAGGAGACTTTAACCACTTGGGCTCAGGAAGTCGATTTATCATAACAACAAGGGATAAGCAGGTATTGAGAAATTGTGAAGTTGGTAATGCTAGTATATATGAGGTTAAAGGATTAGGTGATAATGATGCTTGCAAACTTTTTAGACATCATGCTTTTAGACAAAACCTTCCTACTGAAGATTATGGGGAGTTGTCAAACAGAGTGGTAGCATATGCCAAAGGTCTTCCATTAGCTCTTAAAGTACTAGGGTCTTCTCTTTATTCAAAGGGAAAAGAAGTTTGGGAAAGTGCAATAAATAAACTAGAAAAAGGTCCTCCTTTGGGTATTAAGAAAATACTAAAGGTTAGTTATGATGGACTTGAAAAAGAAGAAAAGGACATATTTTTAGACATTGCATGTTTCTTCAAAGGGGAGAACAATAATTCAGTAATAGAAATCCTCAATGCTTGTGACATCTCTGCAACACAAGGAATAAATGTTCTCATTGATAAGTGTCTCCTAATTATGTTAGGTGGTACAATAACGATGCATGATTTGCTTCAAGAAATGGGTAGGGAAATTGCTCGGGAAGAATGTTCCAGTAATGAACCTGGCAAACACATTCGATTATGGCATCGTAAGGATATCAACGAAGTATTGACGAAAAATATGGTGAGAGACGTCAAAGCACTAAAATTCCATTAAATTTTATATATATATATATGACATCTTGCTAGCCGAGGATTAATGGGTAAGGCAAATAAGTCAGCCCCATGAATTAAGGTCCCATTTAATGCTGTTTGAATAGTATTATTACTTTGATTTCAAATTAAACATTTTTTTCTCTGGTTTTTACATTTTTTTCCAAGAATTATTTCCTTTCCTTCAATTATCTTTTCCATTTAATGTATTCTCTAAATCTCATAGTAAAGATTGTAGTTTAAATAGTACTAGTGTTATATTTAGATGTAAAGGAAGAATTATGAATATAACAAAAATGATCATATATAATATGTTCTATCTTGATACCTATACTTATGATTAGTTTTATAATTCTATTATTAGTTCTCATTTTCATTTCCAACCACCAATTTGTACCTTGTATTTGGAACCCATAATCTGTATTTATTTTTGTTATCTAGATATGTTGTTATTAATTATAAAACTGTTTTTCTGTAACTTTGTTTACAATTATTTTTAATAAAATATGTTTTATCAGAATATTTGATATTTTTTATTAGTTTTTAAAATAGCCTTAAACTTTACTAAGGCAGCACTTGAAGTTAATAGAATCTTAGCTTCGTATGATTAAAATGGTGGGCTATGAATTAGATCGGCCACTCAGCCCTAACACAAGGTTATGTCTTATATTCAAATATTTTAAATTTAAATTCAGTTGAAAGAAAAATAAAAGCAAAACAAAACAGATTTTTGGATTATTGTGCCATTAGATAATTAATTTAAGCTAAACTTATTTTCTCTTATTGACTGTTAGGGTGCCGAAACGATACGAGGCATAAGCTTGGACATATCAGAATTAAGCGATGCAGGTTTGGATTTTCAAGCTTTCTCAAAGATGCATAAACTGAGATTCTTCAAATTTTATAGCTCACGAGGCCTTGAATCTCTTCCCACTTCGGCAAAAGCGTTCCTCAGTTTACATGAATACTCGTGTAAAAATAAATTGCTTGGTTTCGAAAACCTTGAATTATTTTCTGCTGAGTTGACCTACTTTAGCTGGCGTGGGTGTCCGTTAAAATCATTGCCATTAAAGTTTCTTTCAGGGAATCAATTTTGGAATGGTGTCAAGGTATGTATGTGTATATATACATATAATAACAATAATTTTCAAATCATGACATCCTGATATTAATTTGATAGGACCATGAATATAAACTATTGGATATGAATTATAAAAAATCATTTCAATCCCATGAGATGAATCTAACAATGTATAAACATGGCTCTGATCACAAAATTAATATCAACATGTTTTGACTAAAGATTTACTAATATATATATTTGTATGTATGTATGTATGTATGTATGTACACGTGTTTGTGTGTGTTCAATTTACAGATTATAAATATAAGAGAGCTGATATATAATTTGAATATGTCATTTGTTTCTTTTTACAGAATCTCGTAAATTTGATTCATATTGACCTCAGTAACTCTATACACATAACAGAGGTTCCAAATCTCTCTGGGTTACTAAGACTGAAGGAGATAATTTTTTTATATTGTTCAAATTTGTCAGACATCAGTTCCTCCTCTATCCAGAATCTCAATAATCTTGTGCAGCTGAATCTAAGCTTTTGTGAGAAGCTTATTAGTCTTCCAGACAACATTCAATCAAAATCTATTACTCTCCGTGGCTGCTCAAATCTCAAGATGACTCCAAAGATCGCAAGTAAAGTGGAAAAGCTAGATCTAAGTTATACTGCAATAAAAGAAGCACCTTTCGTTGAATATCCATCCAGACTTGTTAGATTGGATCTTTCATATTGTCCAGAGCTTGAAAGTCTCTCGAGCAATATTTGTGAGTTGCAATTTCTTCAGTATCTTGCAGTAAAAGAATGCCGAAAACTTGAAAGATTACCGGATGACCTTGGAAACTTGGAAGCTTTGAAAACATTGGACGCTTCTGGTATTTTCATAAGAGAAATACCATCATCCGTTTTCCATTTGAACAAACTTTCTTCATTACAGATATCTCGATTATCTGATGATGAAGCGCCGTTGAATTGGGTACCGAATTCTCTATCAAGATTGATGTCTTTGAAACGTCTTGAGTTGATTAACTGTCAAATTCCGGAGCTACCAAACAATCTTGGTCAATTATCCTTTCTAGAAATATTAGATGTGTACGGAAATAATTTTGAGACCATACCAGCAAGCATCAAAGACCTTTCTAATTTGGTTTTTCTGAACATATGCTATTGTGAGAAGCTTCAGTCTTTACCAGAGCTTAAAAGTGGTCTAAATGTGGCAGCATATAATTGCTCATCATTAGAATCAATATCAGATTCATCATTTCTGTTCTCACAGAATTTGATGCAACAAAGAATAAATTTTGCGAATTGTTTCAAACTGGATCTATCAGACATTCTTCGCAAGGTGTCTTTTTCACACACTCTCTCTTGCTCAATTTTATTAAATATATTTTAATATTATGTTACAAGGATAATTTCAATGGTACAGGAAATTTGTCGAGAAATCTGTAACGGTATATGTTTCCCTGGAAATGAAATTCCACGGTGGTTCAGATTTCAAAATATGGGATGTCGTATAACTCTGGAGAAGCCACCTGATTGGGACAGCCAATTTCTGGGTATTTGTATGTGCGCTGTTGTGACGTTTCCTGAAGGATGCTACATCAAAGACAATTTCGTTGTTGAATGTCACTGTAGTCTGAAAAGCAAAGATGATAAGGATAGGAAGATAGGAGTATACTCAAGCTCTTTGCATGCTTGGGACACTGATGATTTTGTCAAATATTCTGCTCCCACTGCACCCTACTATATTGGTTCAGATCATGTATTCATGGGGTTTAATAAAAATATGAAATCGTCAATTATTGATTGGACCGAACTACAGGTTGACTATGAGTTTCAGGCAAAGAATTTGAGCCGTCGAAACTTTGATAAAGAGAAAAACAAAGATTGCAGGGAGGATGAAGTGAAGGTGAAGAAGTGTGGAATCCATCTTCTGTACGCCAATGATTGTATAAAACCAACAGACGGCTTTAGAGGAAGCAGTAACCGTGATGAAGGGAGAAAGATGGAAGAAACTGAACCACACTCTATTAAATTGCAAATTTCAAATTCCTTTGCAGGCAATTCCAGCACAAGGTAAATAATTAAGATCCTCTATTTAATTTTATTTCTTTTTTGCTCAATAATTTATTTAGTTATGAAATTTTTATACCTGACTTAATTAATATTCAAATCATCACATAAGGACTATATATTCACTATTAAAATAATAATACTTTAAGAGACTTTTCCATGATAGCAATTGCAATTTCTGTGACTCTGGAGATACTTGTAAACCATCAAGCATCTCATAAGTATTTTAAATTATAATGAACTTATACGGCATAAATTTTTCTTTTAGTTTCTTCCGAAACAACAGTATAGTTGTCTTTAAGTGAATAAACATTATGTGCTACAAAATCAGCACATGGAAAAAAGAAAAAGAAACCGTAATTTTTACTTCTAGGATATTGTGGCGGGTTTTCTTACATATTTTCTTGTGAAACTGGATCTCTTTATGAAATTTAATTTATAGAGGAATAATTTTTTGAATACGAATATGAAAATGGAAATACAAATACCATTCAAGGTTAGGAGAAAACGATGAGTTACAAAGGGCTTAAAAACCATGTGTTTCCTCACTCAGTTAATTATTACTAACTCGGTTAAGTCTTGGGTTAAGGTGTTGTATTGTTTATTATATATATATATATATATATTCTCATATGTGAATATAATTAAGTTATACTTAATTATTTTAAATATTGTGTTTCATTGTGTGATATGATTTTCGCTATCTTATTGTTTTTATCACTTATGCATGCATAAACTATTAACATTTACCATTATTGTTATTGAGATTATTATGACTATTATCATTGTTTATTTTTGTCTGTGGTTATCATATAGATGTTATCGTTGAAATTAAATTAACTAAACACTATTATCAGTGGTGGAGCCAAATTTAGGCCGGGGTTTTTTAAAATTTAGTGTAGAAAATATAAATGTGCTCCCTATGAATTTAGTTTTATCATTTAGCTACCCCAATCATTTGAAAGTAACACTAGCCCTGTAAGTGTAACTTCTTAATAACTTTCTGGCCCTGTTATTTACTAAACATTAATTCTGGCCCCGCCCAGACTAAATTTTCTGGCTCCGCCCTTGGCTATTATTGATTGGGAGCTCATTTTGAAAGTATTTTTTTATAGCCATCTAGATAAAGAAAGCAACTCAACATTATTACTGATAGTATTATAGCGAGAAAAGGTCCATGGCTTCCATGATTATCAATGATTTTGACATTCTCTACAAGCATTTATCTGCTTTTAAATTGTTTCTCAAACATGAAGCAAGTTGCTTAATTATATATGGCTAATTTGGGTGAACATAGATTACAACAATCAAATATATTATGAATTCCGTGTTTTGGTGGTTGTTTGGAGAACATTTAAAATATTGCAAATTTAAATAAGTTGGTCTGCTTATTGACAGGAAGAATTCAGTAAATGTTTCATCAATAAGGAAAAGAAAGAGGAAGGGGAAGGGGAAGGGAAAGAGGAAGAGGAATCACATTTTTAAGAAATTGAGAATTTTCAGATTCCTTTAAAAGAGAATCTACCTCAAGGTAAATAATTAAGATTTCCATTATGCATATCTTTGTAGTTGAATAGTTTTCTCTTTCAGGTGTGTGTTTTGCGGTGTCAGTGTTAATATAGATATATATATATATATATATATATATATATATATATATATATATATAATATATATATATAATTATGTTTATTCTACTTGAAAAACTTAAGTTAGTAGGTAAAGATTCAACGTTATATTAATCTATTAATAGACTCTTCACATAAAACTTGATTTTTTTCTATTTTTGTTTTGTTTTATTTTTTCTATTTTTTATTTTTTTATCCAATTGAATGTGAAGATTCGAATTTTAGACTTTTAGTTCTGATACTATGTTAAATTGTCATCTCACTTAAAAGCTTAAACTAATAAGTGAAGACTCAACGTTATATTAGTCCAATAGTGAGAGTCTCTTACTAATACCATTTTGATATTTCTTTAATTTTGTGCTTTATTGTTATTGTTTCCCAGAATAACATGCTTGAAATTCTTCATATCTAAATGGTTATCTCCATTTATATACTTTTAGAGTTGAAATCATACAAGTCATATATTAAACTTTTTGGATAAGTCACGTGTTTTGTTGCTAAAATATAACAATCATATAGAATTTGAATTATTCATAAAGATTTTATAATTATTAAACTGCATAAAAAGTGTTATTATATACAAATTCATTAAAGATAAATCTAATTTTAATGTAAACAGTTTAAAAAAAAAAAAGAGCTAAAAATGATATTAACTGAGTACGATGATGCAATTACTATAGTTATTATAATTATTATAACGTTGATGTTTTAGACAGAAATCTAATCTCTTTAGATTAAAAAATAAATAAATAAATAAATTATATGTAATATTGCATTATGATTAATCACTCTTTGGTTTATGAAATTTGAATAATTTTTTATTTATTCATTTATGTATTTGCAAAAAAGAAAATACCTTTTAACAGAAATTAAGTTAAATAATTTTCTTTCTTTTTTGTTAGATTCATGGAATGTATTTATTATGAAGTTAGTTTAAGTCCCTCCTTATAGATGATTGATATGAATATTGGTTTCGGAATAAATATAAAATATTAAGTTGCATTAAATAATTCCAAACACAATGGCAGTTTTTATTTTACTCGGTATCTAAATGAGTTGAATTTATAGAAATTTTTCCTGGCAAACCCTTTCCTTGACAGGTTTTGATTGTCAAGGAACATTTTTCCTTGTAGTGTGTTCCTATATTCGTAAATTTATTTCTTAAACAATTACGTGAAGATGATTATTTTTAGGTCATGTTTACTTGTTGGGATTGACAAGGAAATGACATTAGATTCTCAATTCCTTGTTTACTTATTGGAAAAATCCCTAAAACTTTTTTTAAGGAATCCTAATTCTTGGAATAGGGAAAGAAATTACTTTTTTGATCTTATTTTTAAATTTAATTCATAATTTATTTAAACATTTTCATTTCAATATTTTTTTTTTTGGGTAAAAACCGATAAATATAAAAGAATAAAGAATTACAAAGAAAAAGAGGGAAAACCCTCACCAAGAACGCCCCTTTAAGACACAAGGAGAAACAACAGGAGTGAAAGACAAAATGAAAAAACAGCCCTTGGGTACAAAGGCTAACAGAACCACGGCAAAGGAGCCCTAGGGAGCTTTAAAAAACCAGCAGAGCAGACCCTGGAAACGAAAAAAAAAAAAACAACCACCACCTGGCAAGTAGCAACAATATAGCTACTTGAGGAAGAGCAAAATACTACACAGCCAGAAGAAACTAAAGCCAGAACTAAACCCAAGCTGAAACAAAAGCTCCCAGCAGACCTTTCCCAAAAAAAAAAAAAAAAAAAAGAGTCCCAACAGCGCCAAAACACACCCAAAAGGTATGCTCACAAAAACACCCTCCTGCAGCGTAAACAACAGCACAGAAACCCACCTGCAACACCCACAAACTACAGCTGCAACCACCAAAAACCTTTAAACAAACCAGAATCATCTTGCTGCTCAATCAAACACCAACAATTAAACTCCAGCCACCGCATCACCTGACCCTCAAAGACCATACAACCACTTACAACCATCCACCAGAAGACAGAGGAAAACTGTTCCTTGCAGATATCCCATAACACAGACTTGAACAACAGCAGGACAACAAAATTCCAGCTCATCCGAGACGACCTAAGCCTGATTGAAAAGACGGTATCGCTTTATTTAATCTCCCTCATCACAAACTCTAGCTTGACGACCTAAGCCTGATTGAAAAAAGGTCCTAGACAGTATCACTTTATTTAAAGGGCCCAAGGGGTGCCAAGAATCATACCAGAGGGAAGCTGATCGGCCATTGCCAATTGTTATACCAATGCGGCTTCTAATAAAATTGCGCATTTTAAGGATCTTGTGCCAGCTCCAGCTAGTGTCCCACGGGATACGAACATCCCAAAAACTACGACCTCGTAACCTAACTATGTGAATCCATTTACCCAAAGAGAGTTCTTTTTTTTCGGAAACAATGCTCCAAAGATGGTAGATCATCAAAGAGGAGTTCCAGAGGCTAAGAGGCCGAATCCCGAGGCCACCATCGACTTAGGAAGGCATAAATCCTTCCAAGCCATGTTAACTTTACCTTTCACCATATCACTTTCTGACCATAAGAAAGTTCTCATCAACTTTTCCATAGCTTTAGAGACTGGTCAGAGAGGATGAAGACTGAAGCCCAAAAAACTTGCATGGAAGAGACAACTAAAATGACAAGCTGAAGACGACCTGCATAAGACAGGTACCTATTCTTCCACGACTTTAATCGATTTTCCATTTTTTCCAACCTTATCATGTCTAGTATTCCAACAGGACATACTAGACATGATAAAATGTGATGGTGGGGGCTCTTCAAAGTCCCCCTCTTTATTCTTGCCTTCAATTTGCCCTTTTTTGTGTCCTCTTCATTCAAGAACCTCATCATTGAAGCAGTGTCAGATTCTACATCAGTCTCCTCCATTTTTGAGTCACTATCAGCCTCTATTCCATTGTCCCCAATAGTATTAATAGGGGTAGGATCACCTTGACTTTGGACACTGATTTCATTACATGCATCAGGCTCAACATTTAGGCATTGAAATGAATTTCCGGTACTTATAACTTGATTCCCTCCTTTCGGCTAGTCCCTAGCAGCTTTTTTAACATAGGTTAATCTTGTGGATTTAGGATTGGCAGACGACCCTTCCTAAGCTTCAAAATGGAGTTTCCCTTTACCCTTGCAGGTAAACGTGCGAAATCCCTCACTATCAACATTGATACTCTTGGTCTTTTCAGCTTTAGTACCTTTATCCTCCCGACTCTGCTGTCGCGGTCAACTTGCATTCCGGTGACCAAAAACACTACAAAATTCACAATGAGATGAGCGCCATTGATATTCAACTCTGACTTCTAAAACTTTGGACACATTAGACTCCTCAGCTGGCGTTCTCTCCCTTACCAGTTCCGACAACTTCCTGGTAGCATCAACCTCCACCAACACTCTAACAAAAGCTATACACCCCACCCCGTTTCTGCAGGTATCATCGGTGAACCTATCCATGCTCATCGGTTTTCCAACTCCACTCGATATGTAGCTTAACCCATCATGACTCAAAAATTCCATTGGAACATCCAAGAGCTTAACCTATAAAGGGATGGACCAAGGAGCTTCCTTATTGAGGGCCATCTCTGGATGCCATTTCTGCCACAGTAGGGGGCGGTTCTGGAATAACTCTGACCATTTTCCTAGCAACGTAACATAAGGTTTTCTTCCCCGAATTTAAAGAATAAAAAGCTCTTATCGTTCATTATAACTTCGGATATGTTGTAACTTCTTCTCAATAAAAGTCCCAACCAAGCAATTCGCCCATTTTCGTCTCTCCTCTTGCTGAACTGAGATAGGCGGACAGACTACTGCAGTTCCATCAGCATAAAAAATAGGAGCATGAAACTTCATGGAATCTTCTCCCTTGCTGATCATGGCCGTCACATTCGCCCAGCTTCGGGAATTCTGATCACTTAAGCACTCGTAAGCCCGTCTTGGCCCATCTCTTTCCCTTGGGCTCCCAACCCTTTTTGACCAATTTCAGAAACCTTGCCCACTTCTTTGGTTAGCCCAATTCCTTTGTCAAGCAGAAGCCTAGATTTGTGGCCTCCTTGATCAAAACACTTGGCAATGATTATTAACCACAATCAAGGAATTCTCCATTCCCTTTTCAAATCTTAGCCCAAACATCAGCCCAACATCCTGGTTGGATTCCAATCCAATATTCCAGCCCAATATCATTGTCATAAACATGGGTTACACCTAAACTGGACCTAGAATCCGACCCACAATCCAGACCATTGACCCATCTGCTTGCATATGTGAGAATTTTGGAAGAAGAGGGATCATCGTCGGCCACAGGCTTTCACGACCAACCACCGACCAAAAATTCACGCCATTCGCAACTTCCCCTAATGGCACCAGTAGGCTTCTTGACCTATCCCGTTCAGGCCTCCTCTCCTCTCCTCAACGCCAAAGCTCTGTTCTTGGCAATCCAGATCCCTTTTTTTTCTATGTGGACTTCTTTTACAGCCATCCGAATCTCCAATGGTTCAATCGATCTATTATCCTCCAAACCAGAGTCATTGCCACCCATCCTGAATTCACCCCTTTTTCTAATTCTTGCATTCACAAAATCTTCTTCCTCCTTGATGTTATTGTCGAACGAGAGAGACCTATTAACTGAGCTTTTCTCGGACTTTTTCATACGACGTTGACCCATACTAGAAGTGCCATTTCTCCCACTCCCCACCCTAAAAGGTTTCTTAGGTGGGCATGAGCCAACAATCCCTAACCATCACCAACCAAACCAAGCCCGATCTTGAAGCGCCAAACAGCCGCCAGCGTTGGATGAGACTTGAGAGAAACCTTTCTTTACTATCTCTAAAGTCAATGGGGCAGCCAGTTTTATTTTATAATTAGTACTTGAATTAGTAC